CCCAGTGATAAATGTATGATGCATTTTTTTAAAGCTTCTTTTAATTATCTCCTAAAGTCAAGCTTAAACATAACACTTGTTATAATTTTTGCTTTCTATAATTTCGCTTACAACTGACGATGTTTCCTACTTAAGATTTGAAATTGTTTTTTTCTGAGGAAAGCCTCTATCCCCTTATCCCTCAAAAATAAGAGATCACAAATTACATTCTCAGGAGTTTGCGAAACCCCATAGTCCAATCAGAAAAGCTGTTTCATACACCACCACTTTTCTTTCAAGTGGATTTCAACAAGGCGATGACATAATTAACAAGATGGAGAAGGGTAAAATTTATCCCAAATTGCTGTAAATCGGTAGTTGCGTAGTAGTGCTTGCCAGACAGCCACATAGGAGTGAAACAAACACCGGACAACCGTTTCGATTATTTGGTGTCAATTACATCAGCGACTAACCTGGTTTGACTCAACTTAGGGTGCCGAATCGGTTTAAAACGTCCAAAGTAGCTAACCAGGAATCGAGTAGTTTACACCTTGCTAACTTGAAAATAAAAGACACTTCAGTGAAGAAAGTATTTTTGATTGACGATACCTACAAAATGAGACCGAATTGTACAAAGTACTTTGGGTTTCAGCATTTGTTTATGGTGAAGGCGTTGGCGATTGATCCATACACCTTCGAACTCTCTTTACAGAAAACGTTCGTCTTGTCTCTTATTCGATCCTGGTGTTTTTCGAGTTTGACAACGGATTGATATCAGTTAGAGAATCACTGAAAACCAACACTGGAGGACTGGACAGCTGTTTGGTCACACAAGTTCGAGAATCATCGGCAGCACGCACCCGCAGTCAGGGTCTGAACCCAGGACATTCAGGTTACAAGGCAAGTTTATGAATCAATCAGCCACTGGGACCAAAATCAACGGCCAGCCCATTAATTCTAACTTCTACCAGTTCATAATTTAGTGCAGTCTTAGTCAATGTCGTCGATGGGACATCCATCCTCACACTTGAGTGGATAAACCTCACCGGTTACGACTTCTCACTAGAACTGCGGGTGCGTACTGCCGATTCGTGATTTTAACGGAATCACTGACCAATGCATGCAGAAGGAGAGTGTGACTATTCTGTCAACACCCTGGTAGCCATAAATGTTTTATTCTGTTGCATAACATTCGACTCAATCTTAAATTTGATTCTGATTCACTGAGTTAATTTTGCTTTACTATTCACCCTCACTCTCCTGAACTCTCCACCATGAAATGTATAAATTAACTCTGTTGTTCTATCTGGTATTTTGTCTCTAATCAAGCCTTGTTTCCAAATGAAATTTGAACTCTACGCTCATTTGTCTAATCACTATATAAATAGTAACTCTTTTAACACTAATTAATTGTCTACTTACATCATCTTTTAAATGGTTTTGCTCATTCTCTCGATATACAACTTGCAATCATTGTAAGAAGTACATTCAGACGCTATTTTGTAACATATAATTGATTTAATTAGGATGTACTCAGTTGAAGAGAGAGAGAATTGACGAAATAAAACCAGCTGGTATTATCCTGTCTACTAAAATATGTGTTCACTATTTCTTTATTCAAACTAATAAAGGGAACTGGCTGTATAAGATTCTTTGTTCTTCAAGGATTTTACAGTCATAATAACAATAATAATAATAACAATTTTTCACAATGAAAGTACATAAGATAATTTATTTCCCAAGTAAACTTAAGCTGAACATTGAGTGCCTTTAGGCACACTATTATTATTATTTCTGATCTCCCAGCGTTACTTTTATGTTGTTTTTGACTTTATGTTCCATAAGTGGAAAAGAAAATATGAAGTGGGTAGCCTGAAGCGTTAGTGTCTGCACCGTCAACAAATTGAAATAATTTAGTTAATTCGCGTTGAATTCAGTCAAAATAGCCTTCGAGACAACATAAATCTTTAATTGTTATCGTCGCACTGCTGCGCAATATTACAGTCTGTAACAGACGATGAAAAAAAAGGAAGACGCAGAAATTACGTCATCTTTCTTCCCCTTTTGTATTTTACTAGTCAGTGAGTGGTTTTATTGTTTAGTAGACTGGCTAAACTTATAATAAATGGCTACTTTCTTTTCCGATCATATTGTATTTCGATAGTTGGTTTGTAAGGATTAGATTTGTTTTTACGAGTTGATCATGGATTGATTTCAGGGTACTGTCAAAGATTCCCAAACTAGGATGAAACAGCTGTCCGTTCCTCCGATGCTGGTTTTCAATGGTTCTCCAAATGATATCAATCCGTGATCAACTCGTAAAAACAAATCTAATCCTTACAGACCAACTGTCGAAATTTAATCTGATGCTCGTTAGTGACTTATTACAGGACGGAATTTCCTGTAGTTCTAGTGAGAAGTAATGACCAATGAAGTCCATCCAGTCAAGTGTGAGGATGGATGTCCCGCAGACGACATTGGTTGGTGGTCGCGCTAAATCACGAATTGAATTCATGGGCTGGTCGGTGAATAGAGTCCCAAAGGCTGAATGGTGTACGAGCTTGCCTTGTAACTGGAAGGTCCTGGGTTCGAACTCTGGCTCCGGTGCGTACTACCAATGATCCTTGAACTAGGATGAAACAGCTGTCCAGTTCTCCAGTGCTGGTTTTCAATGGTTCTCTAACTGATATCAATCCGTAATGAAATCATGACTCTTATGTCAAACTTCTGCTGAGTAGAATATAAAAACTATATTCATATTGCTTTAATACGATGTGTGTGCTTTAATGCGTTCGTATTCTGGTAGTGGAGTGCTAGTCAACCACGCATGTGGTCCGGAGTCAGTTCCTCGGCAGTCATACTCCTAAAGCTGGCCTAAATGGTAGTGAGCTCAGCAGAAGAGGGAAGGTTAGACTTGAGACTACAACCTCAGGCAGTAAAAATGTTACTTAAACTATACAGCTAAAGCATGAAGCCCTAAATGTATATATTGACAGACCGAAGGTGTAGCAATGGGGTTACCAAACTACCCAATCGTAGCATATATCTTTATGGGTACTTGGGAGAATACAGAACTTAATACACTTAATCTAATTCCAGAAATATGCTGGCGATATGTGGGTGACACTTTCACACGCAGTGATAAAAACAGAACATACCTCTAGCTTCTTGACACATAAAAACTCACTAGTGAAGGAAATAAAATTCACATTTGAATTGGAAAATGAACAAGGAGAATTAGATATGAAGTTAGATTGTAAAATAAAACGAACAGAAGAAGGTAAACTGCACACTAGTGTTGATAAAAAGTCAACGCATTCTAATAGATATTTGGACTTTAATTCATCTCATCCGTTATCTGTAAAGACAGGCTTAGTTAAGTGTTTAACAAACCTAGCAATAACTCACTCTAAGTAGTACATCAAAAACCTCAATGATGAAATAAAACAGAGAGAAGAAGCATTGGTATTAAATAAGTATCCTATAAAATTCATTAGGAAGATCAGAAAAGATCCAAATAAAAATTATGGGGAGACTAACAATGATAACATAAATAAGAAAGAATATAACGCATCCACAGTTTTACCATATCAAGTGGGGACATCTGAGACCCTACGTAGGATTCTCAATAAAGCAGGAATTAGGGTGGTGGCATTCAAACCCACAAACTCACTGAGAGACAAGCTTTGTGGGTTAAAGGAGCCTGTAGGTTGACCCAATTAGACAAAATAGTATAATTTACAAAATGCCTTGCAATGACTGTGATTGAGATCAAATACATAGGTCCAACTAGTAGATCGGGAGTAGTCAGATTTTCAGAAGATAAGAATTTAGCTAAGGTTAGAATGATTGATCCCACGAAGATAAGTTATTTAGAAAAAAATACTCAGCAATCGCACTGCATGCACTAACACACAATCACACAATAGGGTGGATGGGACAGAGTCAAAATTCTGCGTAGGTGAATAAAGAGGTCAATTACTGAGTCTTTCTTCATCGAATCTACACCTAATGCGTGAAATAGGAACGACACAGCACACCAATCCCAGAAATATGGAAAATATTCCTACGAATCATCGAATCAACCTATGAGAAATCAGGGAATTATATATACGAAGTCGAAGAATTGTGAGAATAACTTGATGTGATTATGAGCAGCAATAAATTGTTCTCGAGACGTTATCAGTGAATATTACTGCATATGTCCACAGTCCAATTATACTCTGCCATTGTTATGTCTTTTTTATTATAGCTTAATTCCACACCGAAATGTTTGGTACAAGTATGAAATTTTCAGCATGTGATATTGGTAGCCCAAATTTAGCAGGCCGACCACTGATACCAGGTGTGCGTTGGCAGGGAATCGAACCCCGGACCATGTGCATGGGGGGGTGAGAGTCCTAACCGCTGTGTCACCGACGCACAAAAAAAGAGGCCTTTGACGGCCTGGAAAAATTGCATCTGATGACGATAGTTCGCGCCATCAATGCGGAGTATTGGGAGTAGTTTTCAACTAGCAATAACCCCGCCTCAGATAATCTTCATTGGCTACGGTACCGCCACTGCGGAAAGTCCTTATATAACACTCAGAATGCAAAGGACCTAGAAGATATATATATCTTGGCCTCACTGAAGGTGAAGAGATATCTAGAACCAGAAATGGGCGGATTTTATACCCCTAAAAATTTTCCTCTTCCTGAGTTGATATAGGTGATGAAAGGAACACAGTGTACTCAGGTTTGTCAGTCTCTAGTCAAGTATTCTGTGTGAAGAGTGAGTAGATTATCAAATTGAAAGGGAAAACAACGATGCTGGAAATTAGACGGCATGTTTCAGCAAATTTAATTCAATCACATTGCATTAAAATAAATGTATCCCAATACTAATTCACTTATAATCCTATCTATGTTCTTTTTTTTCAATAACCCACTAACATGCTGGTTATTTTTTTGGTCAAAAAAATGAACAGTCTGATGACTACAAAGATTAATGTGTATATATGTATACAAAAAGGGACTTACGGCCCATTTTCGGTTTTTCCCTAAAATATTGAAAAAAGTAAATAGGCATGAATAAAGAATCATAAATTATACTGAATAGATAAATCAATAAATAGTATACAAAAGCGACCGTATTTACCAAGTCTACAATCCGCACTGATAAAATCAGACTGTCTCAGTGAAATGTATATTACTCAGACACTAAATGAACATCCAGGGTTTGGTGGATGGGAGGATATACTTTCAGCATGTAATATTATATCAAAAGGATATTTTAACATTCTCATCGCATTAATTCAGTATTAGGCTGTACGACAACGGCACATGTCAAGTGATCCACAACGGAAAACTCAGCGAGGCGTTTGGAGTAAACACAGGAGTCAGACAAGGGTGCTTATTATCACCAATGATATTCCTAATTGTGGTAGACTGGATTATGCGTCAGACAGTGGGAAACGAGAAGACAGGGATATCCTGGACCGACGTGAACAACCTAGAAGACCTGGATTTCGCGGATGATTTATGTTTGATGTCACACAAAATTGAAGACTTACAAGCGAAAACCGACAAACTGGTCGAAGAAGCAGCAAAGACAGGACTCCAGGTGAACATAAACAAGACGGAGGTTATGAAAATAACCAACCAACAACAACAACAACAGCAACATCCAGCGCCAATCACCATCAACGGGAGGGATTTGAAAGAGGTTACTTCATTCACTTATCTAGGGAGCATTGTCTCAACTACAGGAGGAACGGACGAGGATGTCAAATCGAGAATCGGGAAGGCGAGAAACACATTCATCAACCTGAAACCAATCTGGAAATCTTCGTCACTCAGCATCAACAACAAAATTCGGATTTTCAATACAAACGTCAAGTCAGTCAGTTCTTCTATACGGATCAGAAACTTGGCGAGTCACAAAGAATATTTCCAACAGCCTGTTGCAGACCTTTATCAACAACTGTCTTCGCTGGCTCTATACTGAAGATCAGATGGCCGGAAAGAATCACCAACAAGAAACTATGGGAACAAACAAAACAAGAACCAATCGCTCAACAAATATGCAGGAGAAAGTGGAGATGGATTGGACACTCGCTGAGGAGGCCGTCGGGTGACATCGTGCGTCAGGCCAGTGCTCGAGTGGAACCCGAAAGGGAAGCGGCAAGTGGGACGTCGAAGGGTGACATGGAGGAGATCGTGTGAAGAGGAGTTGAAACAGTATGGACTAACATGGATGCAGGTGAAAAGTACAGCAGAAGACAGAAGCAAGTGGAGGCGTGCAGTTGAAGCCCTTTGTTTCACTAGGAACCCAAGGGAACAATAATTATAATATAGGCGGTTGGAGGCAATCGACAGGAAGCCCTACTTGTCCTAGATTTTGGTGCTAGTTGGCACTCACTAGTCAGCAAGGCGTATCTGCATCAGAAAGGACATGAGTTCCTTCAAGGCACTTGCTGATCGGTGAGTGTCAACTAGCACGAAAGCTAGATCCAAGTCTTTCTGCCGATTGCCTGCCTCCGGCCATCTAACATCAATAATTCACAGTGCAGTGAGTGCATAGTGACGACGACGAGCCACCTAGCTTGTTGGTGGCCAGATTGCAAACTTGACTGATAGAAGTCAATCTGCATCAAAGATAGAGCTAGACACACAAACACACACATTACGCTAGTTACGGACTAGTGTCCAATCAAGGTAATTCATTGTCAGTGTTAGTGAAAGGGATTTTATTATTCCTATAAGTTTTGAACGGTACATAAGGCTTCAAAAGCATATCTCTACTTCATCATGTGTTCTATGCAGCCCGCTAAAGTCAGTTTTAAGATTACCCGTAAGCTCCAGTCTTTGCCTTGCGCAGTCTCCTCCATGTCAGCCTCGTCATTCCCAATTCCGGTTCTACTCAACCGCCTACCTGGCTCATGATGTTACTTAACCTTCTCCTAGGCGTATTTTCATTCATTTCCCCTCCATTTCCTTCTGCATATTTGTTAGGCAGTAAATTACTGCTTGGTTCTTTTTCCTCCACAGCCCTTGGTTGCTAATCCTTCCAGACCACTAATATGATCTTCACTCTTGAACCAAAGAAGGCTGCTGATTGATAAAGGTCTGCAGTGGACTGTTAGGAATACTTGAATTGACATTAGTCTTGAGAATTCAAATCTTCTCTTTTTTATGCAGAGCGCAGTAAATTTCCACACCCCCTATTTCGCCTTTCCGATTCTATATGGCTTTGAAATTATCCGTGTTGCCCATAGTAGTTGGAACGATACTACTTAGATAAATGGATGAGAGGATAATGATTGGAGCTAGTTTTTCTTGTTAATTTCTGTTAGTTAGTTAGGTATGTTTGTCACCTCTATCTTCTCTATGATCACTTGAAGTCTTTCCTTCGCACTAAAAGGTATAACGAATGGAAATCTGCTTTGTGTGTGTATAACAGATCAATGTTAGTTTCAATCCAATAAAATAGCTCGCCTGTAACTGGCAGGTCCTGAGTTCAGAAGCCTGTAGGAACCAACTTCTTGAAAATCCCAGACCAAGACGAAACAGGTATTCAGTACTCTCTCTCTCCTGGCTTTCGATGACCTTCTAAATGATATCAGCTTGTAGTCAAACTTGTAACCAATGAAATCTGTGGAAACCAACATTTCACAAATAATCCGATGCTTAATAGCAACTGGTTCTAGAAAGGAAGTTGCCTGGATTTCTAGCGAGAGTTCATGACCAATGGGGCAGGCAGTTAATAACCCGATGACAGTGGTTCGCAACAGCACCAAATATCATGAACAGACATAAGTTAGAACTGCTTGGCTAGCTGTTAGATCCCATTCCACTGTCTGAATAGTTTGTGAGCTCGCCTTGCAACCAGAAGGTCCTATGCTCGAATCCTGATGTGTGCGTACTGATGATGACTCCAAAATAAGGGAGAAACACCACAATACTGTATTCATCATAAAAACAGGTAACCGAAGTGAAGAAGTCATTAATCAAATAACACTTTACCACTCATGGTGACGTGCAGAGAGTTGAGTGACATCCTACGTGAAGCAGTTCCTCAAATAAGACTGTAATATTAAACAACCTGTTGGGCGTGTGATCGAAGGTTATATGGAGGAGATCGTGTGAAGAGGAGATGAAAGCTGATAGGCAATCGTGGAGTTCCTTCACTCTTATGAATTGTGATTTATTGACTGGTTCTAGAAATCTACCACATCATATGACAACAAGATGACGGCAAGGAGTTATTGAAACCAGTTTACCATCTAGCGGCCTATTGGTCTTCTAGAATTTATGTGGTCCACAATGGTGTTGACTATGAAATCGACCTCACAACAACATATTTAGATTTGGTACAGGATTTCATAATGAGCTAAAATCGGTTAAAGAACCATTGGATAACTTATGAGTACTGGAGAGCTGTCTCGTCCTAGTATGCGGCTTCTCAGGGGTGTGCACCTGCCAGCCTTCAAGCCCAGGACGTTGCGGTTACAAAGCGAGGTTGTAGACCATTAAGCCACTGTGTAGTGTGTTTGGACATTTCTAAACACAAATTACTGTCAAGTGAGAACTATCTCTTCACCAACACCAGTTAGAGGGATCATTGAAAGCCGGGATGATCTACACAAAGCTGTTTCGATCTAGTTTGAGACTCTTCAGAGGTGCGCACTCACAAATCTCATATTTTGAATATAAATCTCGAGCTCATTGATGGCTACAGGATGGACGTCATTAAGCTGCAATATTAGGAGTCGTGACCATTTGGGTTCATTAGCATTCACAGGTCTCTGAAATTCAATTGAAGTGACTGAATAGCCAAAGAACTTATCTGAAGGTCAAGGTTTCTTGGTGTACATGTGTGGACATTCGGAAAATAGGACGCAGCAGCTATGTCCATTGCTCTCTGGTTTTCAGTTATCTCTCTAACTGATGTTGGTTCGTTACGAAGTCGAACAGGTGGAAATACACTGTATCTGATGTAAAATGGTATAAAGGTGAACAATATTACATATTTTAAATTTTTGAATGTTTGAAAAACTCTCTGCCTAAGCAGACTTACATTGGTTCACATTGTGATGAACGCTTTGAACTTTGTCCACTGTTTATAGCCGGTGCATTTACAGTCACGGCGGGTACAGTTCGATATTGAGTTGTCGAGTCAGTTTGATCTTCAGATTCGTTATTCGGTATGTCCAATAGATCCAAGAGAGCGTACAGTGTGGACATCAGAATACGAAACTACAGTAAATAATGTGATGAAAAATAATGAGGTTTTAATAGGCTTTCAATGGTAATCGTTAAAAATCCAAACATCCAAAAAAATGGATACCCAACAAGATTCATTGACAAGAATATCAAACCAAGAATTTGGAGAAATGAAATTTCACTTGTACCGGAAAAGAAACTGTACGTGAACTTGGATTTCAAGGGAGATTCAACAAGGGATATTCTCAAGAGAAGGATCACATCATCTAAGAATAGTGTTCTCCAGTTGCCCACTGATCTTCAGAAGCCTTATGACAAGATCCCGCATCTGACCACTTCTATGTGCGCATATCAGTTCACCTGCTGCTGTGGAGCCAGGTACATAGGTCGTTCGACGCGCACCCTGTCCAAGAGGATTCAAGAACACTATCCATCATGGTTGCGAAAAGGCAATAGTAGTGCTATTAGGAGTGCGATTATTGAACACCTGATTAACACTGATCATTCCATCTCGACAAACGCCTCCTGCTTCAAAGTAATCTGCAGAGTCAAGAATAACCTATCAAAGGCAATACGGTTTCATCTTCTTTGTATCGCTGAATCTCTGGCCATTCACATAGAAAAACCGGAGCTGTGCATTCAAAAGAGAATTACTCAACCACTTCTACTGTCATGGTAACAACTTTTTTGATTTTTGATGACTTAATTTTGTTTATTTGCCTGTTTCTTTAATTGCTTATAATTCTTGTATTCATTTAGAACTCTTATGTAATTTCGTATTCTCTAATTTGTTCCTATGTGTATCCTGAGTAAAACTCAATCATCAAACTATTCATATTATTACAAAACTTCTTTTTAACAAATGTTTGTGACAACTCATCACCTTTGTTACTACCCTAATTTCATTAACACTCAATTTTCTTGACCACTTTTGTATTACGTAACTCTACCCAAAACTTACTCATTTTCACCTGTTTAGTTAAAATAACCATAACCAATTGGATTTTTGTTTGAGAAACTTAATGTACACATGCATACAAAATAACTAATGTATATTTGCTATTGTACAGCTAAGAAAATGAATTCGCCGGCGAAAAGAGACTCTTCGCTGAACTACGTGTTTTGTTTTCATTAATCTTTTAAAAGTATGACAAATCAAATATACAAAAGATAGATGTTTATTAGAGCGATTAAGCTATTCATGTCGTGACAGTATAATGAAAGATGCTGAATGGAATGGCCTGAGTAGTATCGGGATTCCGTATACTGCATCTAAGCGTTTGTGTTTACTTGCATCTATCAGCATGGCGTCTCCGCGATTGTGAAGGTACTAGTTTTCTCTGAGTTTTACAGTCAGAAAGGTTAAAACTAAGTTTTGCCACAAGCGCAGCTAATCTTCTTTACGGCTGTAATGGATGCACTTGTGGCGATCATATATGTAGGTCTTACTGGTTGCGACTATAAATTCTATAAATTATTCTTGCTTTCATTATCAGGTGTTCGGTACAAACGCCGCTAAGAATATTTAGTCTTTCATATGAGGGCAATAATCCTTCATAATGCACTTAGCATGAGCAGCTAAAATAGGTGGTAAAAGTTTTTTGTAGATATAAAAACTCTTTTAACCACCTAGAAATTGGTATTATCTAATTGTATCATGCAAAGAAACACTTTCAGTGATGTCATACTTCATGGTTCTGTACAAGTGGCTGAATGGTTAACGAGCTTGTCTCCCAATCTGAAGAACCTTGGTTCGACCTTCAGTTAAAAACATGGGTGTGAACTGCTGTAGAGTCCCAAGCAAGGACGAAGCAACTGGTCAGTTTTCCGTAACTTGAAACTAATCATATCCCTATGACAAAATGAAATCATGTTAGGACAAAGAAGCATGACATTCTTTCACTGGTGGACATTAGTCGGAGTTGTGCAGTTTTAAGACAGCCTCTATTACACAGACGTTTCTTTCTTACAGAGACCTTATCGAAATCGTAAATATCTATGTATCATATAAACTGCTATTATTCCACGTTATTTGTCAGTGTTCCTTCAAATATTTACTAAATTCACCTAGTTAGTCATGTGGCGTGTGCTACTGACAAGATTTATCAGTAGTATATGTCTGTCTGTCTGTTTTCGACATAGAACTTTGCACATATGTGCGGCAGTTCAAGTCGCCACACTCCACGTAGCACACAAATCAAGAGAAGAAAGTAGGAGAAATGCATAATATAGACAGTAAACAGAGGTGTGAGACAAAGGAATAGTAATAACGAAGAACAAAACAGTTACATTGGAAATCATAAGTCACAAGGAGTGGATGCATCTCCACCAGCCATTGAGAAGGATTTTGAGCCATGTCACCAATTGTTTCCAACCATTGGTTTCTACCGTCCCGAGGACCCCAACCAGTCAGGAAGTCTACACTTTCCTACGTGGCTTAGACTAACTGTTGTAGATTTCATTGACTGGTGCCATGTTTTGGTTTGACCGCCGCTAGCTCTTTTCCGGCCTGACCCATCCTACGTCAACTAAGATTGCTCGTCGAGGAAGGCGATGACTAGGCATAAATAATACATGTCCTAACCATCCCCGTGGATGTAATTTCACAGCCTCGTCGATTGTTTTCCCCTCCTTACCTAGAACTCGACGCCTAACCTCAATAGTAGTAGAATATAGAGAGACATTTATCCTAAAGAAAATATCAAATAGAGAAGAGATAGATTTGACGTCAGAGAGAGAGAGAAAGGAGGCAGAAATCATCTAGTGTTGAGGCGAAACACGGGAGACATTGAAAGAAGACAATACGAAGGGGACAGATCTGTGCAGAAAACGACAATTTTCATTTAAAGGTGTACATAATTTCCCAACAGAGAGATATCAAATTGAAAAGGAACATTCCATCACCAAGTCTCTTGTTTACTAGCGTTACAGACGGAGAAGAAATTATGAAATACCAATAGTTCTATCCAAAAACTACTGGCCCTATTCAGGTAGGTAGTTATCTGGGTTATAGTGGGAGGTCGTGACCAGTAGGGTGCAGCACTTCAGGTGTGAGAACATATACTCGCCGAAGACATTAACTACAGGTCGCGCTAGGTCGTCAATTGGCTGAAGTTGAAATTCATGTGTTGGCTATTGGATTGGGTCCCAGTGGCTTAATGGTCTGTGAGTTCACCTTGTAATGAGAAGGTCTAGGGCTTGAACCCCATCGACTGCGTACTGATGAAGAGTTCAAAGCTAGGCTAATGAAACAGCTGGCTGTCCAGCACACCTTGCTGAAATCCTCCAACCAATCAATCAAATCCTACAAACCAATATTTGACTAATAACTTAATTTATCTGAAAGCATTGAAACAACTATGAGAATAAATACATCGGTCAAAGTAGTAGCCTCGCGATGAAAATCTAGATTAGTACACACTAATAAGATAAGAAATCTAGGTAAACGTTCTTCTATAGCATGCCATGCATTTACACACATTCCTACCACCGGGTGTGATAAGGTGTTAGTCTTACATTCTAATGTGAAGAGGATACAGGGAGGGATTTATAACTACTGCCTTAGTTACTGAATCAACTATTACTAGGGAAAATACTTAAACAACAACAACAATAGTGAACGCTGATCATTGTCACACGGGGAGAAATTTGAAGGAGATCGCAAAACTCTCTATATCCAACTAGGTGCCATCGTTTCAACTACAGGCAGCATGGATCAAGATTTCAAAACCTAAAAATCGAAAGGCAAACATGAAAAAAACTTCAGATTTTCAACACTTATGTCAAGTTAGTCTGTGTTTCTGTAAAGTTAAGAGACCTGCTGTCGTATAAGAGCATTTTCTAAAGCCCTTCCGTGATAGTGATGTTCAAATAACTTCAAAGAAAGACTAATCTCAGCTAAGAGTAAGCGGGCGAATCAACCAAGAACTCAAAACTCAACAAAAATCCCTCACTAAATAGATATGGGGATATATCGGAGGAAGTCGTGTAAGGTAGAGTTTTCGACATATGAGTGATCTTGAAACTAGATAAAGGCTACTGAATAAAACTGAATGAAATGGATATTTCCATTTGGAACCTAAGGGAATATAATATAGTAATAGTAATAACAAAGGAAATTCCAGTTTATCTCAACATAAAAAACCACTTACTCCAGTTATATTGACCTGTTTATCTACCACATGTGGTAAAAGACCGGGAAAGATGTCTTTGGCAATCAACTGTGGTTCTAGCAGATGGGATTTTGTATACAAAAGCTTCTTCCAAGCATCTGTTTGATTAGGACAAAATAAACAATGAGATAATGAGATAAAAATAAAACAAGTAATGGGTTAACACCAACATGTGAGAGAAAAAATGGAAAATTCAACTTTATAGTATGTTCAATCGAAGACATTGGGCAGAATTGAGAAACCTCTCTCTCTGGGCATCTATTTCTAGACTGTTGAGAAATTTCGCTGAAATTGCTGCAGATTCTGTTAAGCATCAGAAAGTCGTCTACGATGCATGTGGTGATTACAACACACAGGTGAACCACATTCGATTCCCAGTAGATATTGACGTAAACCTCGCCTAGTCTGCTGGCTGGTAGTAAGCCCTGAAAACAACGAGGATTGAGATTAAATTTAGCAAATTTACTTAATAAGAATAACGCTGGTGCTACTAAAACCCTAAAACTTGGTAGCAGCACTGCAAGATTGTCTCTCTGATCAACATTTTAGCAGGTTGTTGTCCTTCATTTCTTATTCGGTGAGTGACTTTGACTCATACCATAAAGATTAACTAGCTGTATTTCTGCAGATTCATCAGTTCACCTGCCCCATTGGAGACCATTTCGTTTGACTTACTACTTGACAGCTTAACTAGTGTTTGACAGAACATCTTCTTAAGTAAAAACACAGTTTTTTGTTCAGCGAAGAAATTTCTTTTCAACGACTTCATTTTCAAGCTGTACAGTCGTATTTATATTACAGAAAAAAGGTTATTAAGTGGCACTAAATAATTGCTCAGTCAATATACATATATGTGATAAGAATAACGATAATTAAAATGTTATAAGGGGTAGAGTTGAAGTGGATAAATTACAAAATTATAAAGATTAAAGCGGTCGTTTCATGGCAAGCTTAGAGAATGGCCCACTAAGGAAACCATCGATATTGTTTATGTATAAAAGAAATAGATGATACCTTCATTGTATGTGATGAAAACTCTCAACTGCCGATTCTTGGAATATTTATGGTTCTCACCCATCTTTGCTTTTCACGTCGAAGAAGAGTCGAATTCCTCATTTCACTTCCTTGATGTAAGCTAGATAGAGAGAGAATGGTAGCTGTTAAGGTGATTTACTAAAGCCAACATTCACTGGCAGTACACTAACTTCAACAGTTGGGTACCGTTAGGGAGAAAGAAAAATCTTATTCATTCCTTATTCTCCAGATTCGTAAAATCTGCTCTGCAGAGACATGATGAACTAGATAACCAATCAAATCTCCTTAACAATGGTATCCTACAAGGTTATGAACGTAAATCAAGAAAGAACCGCCCCTAGACAAATTACAGTGCCAAAGAAAAAACTGTTTATGAGCTGGCATTCAAAGTGACACCATTTCGAATGATTAAAATCTTTATCTAAATGTATTAAACGACTTTTCCTGCTGCTGACTTGCACTAGTTTTACCAGCCGAAATATGATTAGACAATGCGTCACGGATAGATTACGGCTTTTGTCCACATCCATGTGTATTTACTCTTTTACCTGCTCTTGTGGAGCTGTTTATATTGGAAGTTGTAAGCGTAATCTCTGAAAACGTGTAGCTGAACACTATCCAGTCTGGTTAGTGAAAGGCGAACGTAGAACTGCGAAGTTGTCTATCTGTGATCACCTGTTAGAGACAGGTCATTTAGCCCCACGTGATTCATCTTTCAAAGTTATCTACGTGGCAAAATCGAATCGATCCAAAAGTTTACTTATGCATAGCCGAAGTTTGCTATACATGAACAGAAACCTAAATTTGTGTTCAAAACGTTTGTCAAACCCCTTTCTTTACCTTGGTCATAGTAATGTCTTCTAGTTTTACTTATTTTATTACCACTTGAATTCTTTCCACTTCACTTCACATCTTCATTCTTATCGTATGTTCTATTTTAAAATTTTAGACAACACTTGACTTTTAAAACATTTTTGATCAATTCACTTATAAACAATCTTAAAATTTGAATTTATCACTTCAACTCTACCCCTTAAACATTTTAATTATCGTTATTCTTATCACATATGATGTATATTGACTGAGCAATTATTTAGTGCCACTTAATAACCAAGAAGTGTCCACAGATCTTCTTGTCTGATTTGGTTGACAGTGGCTGTGACAGTGAACACAGAGAAAGCATTGAAGGTGATTGATTCATCATATCCTACATCATCTTTCATAACTAACTAATTGTACGAGTCCCACTACTACTGTGTTTTCGACGCCTTACCATCCATCCTCTATTGTTATTTTTCTAATCTAGATCCACGAGGTACGTTTGGACGTATGTTTGTATAATCTCTCTGTTTCCACTATTCATATTATTAAAAATCGCTTTATCTTTTCATCTCCGTTATTAATAGTATTATTATTACTACTATTATTATTATGATAAGTTGTACAATTTACACACACTGACGTATCATCCTGTTGGTGAATCATATTGACTGGTTTACATTCAATAATGATGTACAAAGCAACAAGTTAGCAGAAGAAGCATCAAAGATAGGCTTTCAAGTGAGCATATAGAAGACAGAGGTGATGAGGATTCCTGGCCAACAGCAACAGCAACAACAACAGACATCAGTCAGCATACATGGGAGAAATCTGAGAGAAATAACCTATTTTACCTACCTACCTACCTGTAAAGCATCGTTTCAACTACAGGCGGACGGTGCTGACGAGGATATCCAAGCATGACGATCGGGAAAGCAAGGCAAGCTTTCATTACTTTCAAGTCTGTGTTGGGGTCACAGAACTCAGCATTTTCCACTCCAATGTGAAGTCAGTGCTACTATACGGATCAGAGACTTGGCGCGTCATGAAGAGCACTTCACACAAACTACAGACCTTCATCAACAGCTGTCTTCGCTCAGTGCTACTCAGGATCAGATGGCCTGCCAGAAGAGATCAGCAGAGGGGATCTCTGTGAGCGAACCAACCAAGCAGGAATCAATTTTACAAGAAATTTGCAGGAAGAAATGGGGGTGGATTGGCCATACTCAGAGAAAAAAATCATCAAGTGAGTGACATCGCACCCAGGCATCGCTCAAGTGGAACCCGAACGGGAAGCAGCGAGTTGGTCATGCAAAGGTGACTTGGCTGAGGTCATGTGAAGAGGAGGTGAAAGCATGTGGGCAGACGTGGAGCGAGGTGAAAACGTTGGTGGAGAACCGAATGCACTGGAGACATGTGGCTGAAGCCCTGTGTTCCTCTAGTAACTAAAGGAAACAATAATAATAATGATGTACAGAATCATGTACCAAGTTTGGTCACGGATTTACATGGGTTAGAAAAGCATTGAGGACCAGGAATTACGGGAATGGAGGTTTCGTCCTTGTCTGCGACTCCTCATCAGCACGCACCCTCTTCTTAACCAGGCAGTGAAGTTGGTATCTTCGGCTTATGGAACTAAGCTGAATGAACATTCATCCACCTGGGCTGGAATTCAATCACACATGAATTCTAAATTCTGTCATTTCACGATTTTGGGCGAAAAAATACCCGCTGATGACATTGCTTGTTACTGATGCTAAAATCGCAACAGGTGTTTGAGTTGAGAATTCATGGGCCGACCATCCGATCACATCCCATTGGCTCAATAGCTAAGGAGGTTGGCCTGATAAGTGGAAGGTCTCCAATCCGATCCATGATAGCATTGAGAGTACGTACCGTTGAAGATTTACAAATAAGAAGAGACGAAACAGCTATCTAGTGCTTGCTTGAAACAAATCAAATCCCTACAGTATAACTCTCACGCTGACTTCAAAAGACTATCTAGTTAATTCCTGGGTTAGGAAAAAAATTAATAAGCGATCTAGGTAAATGATAAGTAAATTTGCTGTCGCTGAATTCTAATTTCAGTAGTTGGACAGATCATTGAAAACCTGAGAACACACTGGGAGGCTGTTTCGTCCAAGTTTCGATGTCTCCAGCAGTGAGCTACCGTAACCCTACCAAGGATCTCAATCGAGACTTTCAGGTCACAAGAAGGACAAGCTCAGTAACTATTCATACACATCTTAATCAGCCGGAATTCAATGACCCACTTCTCGTTGACATGGTGGAATCGTCTGGCTGCGATTTCTACCTACAGCTTCAAAATATGCATCAAAAAATCATCAGTGAGCTGGAGATTAATTAAATATTTAGATTATGAGGTTTAGAAATAGATTTCGCCACCTAAAAGCGAAATCCTCGATTAGATTCTTGGTGGGGTATTGGGTAATAAAAGCAATAAGAGTCACACACATCTCTTCAGTGCTTCCTGATGATTTCCAAAGACCTCGATAACTGATAATGATTTGTGACAGAAATCAGCACTTGAAATGAATCTCACTGCTCACAAATCTTTTAATCTTAATTAATTTTCAGTTGTTCGAGTTAACCGAAAACGCTATGAAATGTATATTCCGCATATAAATTGAAGAAGATGCTTTCCGTGTCATCTCTCTACTCAAATGTATTTTGGTTTTGTGTCAGAAATGTTCACATTTGCCAAAAGCATACCTATCATTCTTTTTGATGTGGTTGTGTTCTCTGAGCTGAAGCTAGCTTATGTTCGTGGATATGAAGACAAAGGGGACGTCCACTTCGGCCAATATAGTGTTTTTCGCAGTTGTTACAATTTATTTTGTAGATGATGTTGGTTTCACCTTCTTTCGCTGTTGAGTCTTTTGGTTGACATAGAACTAAGTGAAGTGATTTTGTTGGTTTGTGTGCGACGTCAATTCCTTAAGGTTTGACGAGTCTTGCAGTGATTTCGTGGATATCCATTTTTTTGGAAGATGTCCATGAGATATCTTTCTTCAATTTTCCTTAAGGTGGTAGTGCTGCAATGAGTCCTGGCCCTCTTGAATAACGTTTGTATGCAATTCCTTTTGTGTGTTATTGGGTTGTTGCTGCTGTAATTCAGTATTTGATCTGTGTGAGTTGATTTTCTATAAACTTGAGTTTCTAATTCCCCTGTGGTTGTTCGCTTGACTAAGACGTCCAAAAATGGGATTTGGATACGTTACGT